ATTCACAATAAAGAAATATATGGTCTTAAAGTATTTGAGAAATATAATTGGAAAACCATATATCAGTACTATTCTATCAACTTAACAATAGTGAAGTCCCTGAAATAGCAACCATAATCCAATTGAAACAGAGTCAGATCAAAGGCTGGGAACCTGAAAATATCTTCAATAATCCTGTAGATTCACACAAGTTGATTAAAGGCAATTTGGCAGCTATAATATTGGTCCTGACCAAAGATCTATAGATTATGTTTCAAAGTTGAAGATAGAAGGAAATCTTCAACTACTAGGGAGGTATCCTATCTATTAAGTCAATCCTACAAAATGATAGAGAATATGAAAAAGCCATTCCATCACTATGTAAGCATAAAATCATGTTTCTGAATCAAATTATCAATACAATCAAACTGACACTCAAGGAATGAAGAGCAATTCAGATTCTCTTTAGCAAATACAAAGAACCAGTCCCCTCTTGGTACAAAAAGATTCGTGAAAAGATAATAAATAATCAAAACCACTTAAGAAAATCATTACATGGACTAGATTGGACAGACTATAAACTACAAATCAAAACATTTTCAATATATCCAGATAAGAGAAAAACATACTAGGTAGTTCACTCTAGTTTTTTAACTAATATATTAAGAAAAACATCATTCTCAAATAACAAAATCCAGTTCACTTCATACTAGTTATTATATAATTCTATTAGAAACTATATCCTACTTCAATCAGATAGATCATTTTAAGTCTTAGAAGTAGTTCCATCACAAATCCATCTTCTTTTATAATTAAATAGACATAAAAATCTAAAAAAAGGAAAACAAGTTCTTCTATCAGGCTAACTCATAGACTAGCAAATAACTACAAAGCAATAGATATTAATTTTACCTATTTTTAGACCTATAAAAATGAAAATCCAGGTAGAAAACTGGAAAGCCATGCTAATAAGACAAGCCATTCAATCAAATGAACATATAGAAGAACCTACAGATATTCTGCAATACAATAGAAGGAGCATGGCTAATTAGTTCACTTTTTATACAAATGACTCCTATAAAAAATAAACAAAAAATAGTGAACTTGAAATGGGATTTGCTTGGGTTCTAATAGAGGATGACAAAGTTGAAAAACAATTTTCAGCAAGAGCATCGACATGGCCATAAGTAGCTAGAGCAGAATTATTGGCCATCCTTACTGCACTATTCACTGCTCCTTGAAACACAAAGGTCTTAATCTTTACTGATTGTAATATTGCAATTAAGACATGGAAGTCCATCAGTTCATAAATAGAAATATCAACAAGAAGATGGATAAAGACTATCAACTGGCCAATATGGAGTAAGATCAAAGATCTAGTAAAAAAAGAAAGATCTTACCTTAGAAATTACAAAGGTTAAGGTTCATGGGACTAATAAGTTCAATAATCAGATAGATTTACTTGCTAAACAAGCAAGACATGAAAATCCAATAATCTGAAATCAATTATCAAAGTTAGGAAAAGTTCTTACAATAGCTATATGAAGTGAATATACAATAGAGATTAGTATTAGAGAATTTATTAAAATATTTAACAGAAAAAGAATTGGGAAAAACTGGATAGCACAGAAAAGGATTCAAGAACCATGGATCCAAAAAGATAAAATAATAAATTGGTCAACTTTCTGGAATTAATTCAATCCATCTAACACCTTCGATACCTCCTTCAAAGCTAATAAAGACAAAAGCTTTCTAACTAACTTAACTTACAATGAACTTCCAGTACTGTAGATACTCAAGAAAAGGAGATCAGATATTTATATTATAATGACTTGTCCAGTATGTGAACTTCAAAAAGAAACATTAGAACATCTTTTCAAATGTTCAGCTATCAAAGAAGTCAGAAAAAATATATGGTGAAAAGCGAAAGAGAAAATTAATCACTATATTCATAAAAAAATTAAAGACAAGAAAGAAGTTCACACTACAACTCATAATTGGACAAATAGATGGTTAGATGAGATCAAGCAATTTGATAGAAGCCTTTTCAACATTATCTATGAATACATAAAAGAAAAGGAAACAGCCTCTTTGAAAAATTACCTCAAAGTACAACTCAAAATTCCTTCAGCAACCACACAAAGCATAATCAATAAGCTTTGTCATAAAATGAGGAAAAACTTCAAAGAGAATATTTGAAACAACCATTGCACTAAAGTAATAGAGTAGAAAAAAAAGCAGAATATTACTAAAAAGGATAAAGATATAAAAGATCTGGTTACAGATCAAATGCATGAATTATACAAGAATAGAAAGAATCTTCAACATCCTTAGAAGATATGAAGGAAGAGTTTTTGAAAGAGAGGAGAAAAAGAATTATATAGAAATCATTAAGGATTGGATCTATTATGGTACTAAATAGTTTGGTTTTTAATTGCAGACAGAATTTAGAATGATCTACAGTAATGATCTATAGGCAATAATTTTATTAATTAGAGGATTTATCCAAGTTAATAAAGGAGCAAAACATTATTCCCTAAGTTATATCTAGAAAAATAGTTTTTTGATAATGGGTAAGTTAATATGTAAAAGTCAAAATATCTTATAAATATCCTTGTATATATACAATAAAGATATGTTATACTAATCTGACTGTGAATTAAAAAAAAAAAAAATATTATATTTAAACTATCAAATATAAAAATTTTAATTAATAATAAGAAAACTATTTATTTAATAAAAAAACATTAATAATTTATTTTTAACACAAAAAAAAAATTATTTTTTTAAATATTAGCTTATTTTTGTATCAGTTTATATGCTTTATTAAAGTTAAGATATATTCTAGAAATAACTGGAATGAGTAATCACCTGCTATTGTCTAGAATTTATAGATCAACTAATAGTACAAAAGGTATTTATTTACATATTACCCAACCAGAATAAAGTAATTATATGACTATTTAGTATAGAATTATATCTTAAATCTAATTAAGCTATAGGAATAGGAAAATTCAAATATTCATTTTTGATAAAGTAACTTCAGCTGTATGCCTACAATCGGAAGCAGTACTTTTTAGAGTTTAACTTACTGAATAACTTGTTACTATTCCTTATAAGGGAGGCTAATATGTCAAAAACTCACCTAAGATATCCAATATCACTGGTATTATGGATATCTTATATAAGAAGATCTCATTAATACTAAAAATAAAAAAAAATAAAAAAGAAAAAAGAAAAAAATTTTCTCTCTAGAGATTTGTTTTATATTGTGACTTGTCTTATTGCTTAAAAAAGGCTTAGTCTTATGCGAAGGATATTGTATTACTCAGTTGCTTGTCTTTATTTAGAAACTATTTTATGCCTTTGATAGTATACTAGGCTGAGACTTGTTGCAAGTAATTTTTTGTAAGTAGGTAAGTTCTTCTTTTTTATCATTGCTGGATAAATAGTCTGGATTGGATAAACTCTTTTTTGTATTTAGAGATATGCTAGTATCATGTTTTGTATTCACTTGCATCAGGTATAATAACTTATAATGGATACTAGGGGACTGAAGAAATATATTCAGATATGTAGAGTGATTAATAAGAACTTATTTATCAATCTTATTTAATATGTTTTATATTAATCAATTAAAATTGATAGGATTTATACTACTTAAAATTTAGGATCAAGTTAAGATAAGTAAAATTCTCTAGAAAACTATAAAATGGGAGCTCTTAAAGACCATAATACTAGCTAAAGAGGAAAAATCAAGTCTTTTAACTAGAAAAAAACATCTATTATGTCCTGTTTCTCTACTTTAGGAGAGAGATAACAAGTATTTCACTAATAGTCTTTCTTCCTTTAAGAATTTTCTTGTCATTAATAGTAAAGATATCAACTGAACTTTATAGATTACAAGAGTTCAGTTTATTTGAAGATGATTTTAACTAAAAAGAAAGAATGAGATGATTTCTGGAGATAATCTTCAGATTGGTTTAAGAATAGTATCAAAACTTTATTAATAAAGAAGTATAAAACTTCTTATAAGCATTTTTTTTGTATATGATTAAAGGATTATTAGAAAGAGTATTATAATTTTTAACACAAAATCATATATTATATAATATTTTACAAATAATAAAATTTTTTTAATAATATATAACATAAGAATATAACTTCATAAAATATTAGTATTTCCAAATAATAAATAAAATAATAAAGCAAATAGAATAGTAAAAAAAATTATAAAAACAGAATCTATATTAAAACATAGAAATGTGTAAAACAACTATTGAATATAAATAATATAAAATATGCTTAAATATTTGATTTAATAAATAACAAATTTCTTATAAACCTTAATCAAATTATAAAAGAAGCAAAATATTTCTGCAGTAGTGATCTGCAGGCAATGAAATTAATAGTTAAAAGGGTTTTTACCTGAGCTACTAATGGAGCAATAAATCACTTCTAAAGTTACATTTAAAGTAGTAATAATTAAAACAAGTGGACTAATTAAAGATTTAACTTTAATGATTAATCTTACATATATAATATACTAATGTTTAATTATATCTAAAAAAAAAAAATTACAATAAAAAATAAACTAATATATAATTTGTAATTATTTCCATTAATTCACAATAAAGACAAAGCCATGTCAAAAAAATAAACTTCAATCAAGTATTGTGTAATGTGTTACGTTAAAAAAGTTAATATCACGTGCCCGAACAAATATACAATGCTCCCAATCACGTGACAAAGACATGTTTGAAATCAAACCCGAACAACTCGGCTCAAACAGACTCAAAAGTCGACTCCGCAAAGCTTTTTAACATCCCTAACCTGAAGTGACAAAATATCTCTTACAATTTGACCCATACATACCACATATCCAGTAAATCAGAGCATCAGCCAAGTGGTACGGCATAGTAAAACTAATAACTATAAGTTCGAACTCTAATTCTAAATAGCGTGATAGAATAGAATTCGCTAATTACATCAAATGTAGGAAGCAAATTTTCATTTGGTCTTTATGTCACGGGCAAACCGGCAAACACCACATAAATTGTCACTTCGAGATAATATAAACACAATACTCACACATACTTACTCTAAAAATAATAAGCGTCGACTAATTACCAAATCTTCTTAGCAATGTTTCAAAATCTGGCGTCAAGCTCGTTCCTAAATTTTCGACCACATTCTTGTCATCTAGATCGAGTGGATTTATTGATCCTTCATGTAAAGAGGTTTCACCTTTTTTCGCTTTGCTCTTCTTCTTCTTTGGTTTCTTTGAAGACGCAGTGGATTTAATGCCTTCTATTTGATCTTTTGGTATGTGCGCATAGTGGCACTGATATCCACATCGGTAAGTTATGAATATTAATTGTCAAAGAATCACACACACAACTAATACTTACATTACGGTTCTCGCATTTCCCTGTATCGACAAAGGCAAAGCAATGATTGGTCTTAATTCCAGAAAGCTCACACTGTTCTTTTGTAAGGTGAGGGTAGATACACTGATAAGTCAACAAGATGGATTATTATTAAAAAAAAATAAAAATAAATAATCAAACAGAATGCATGATTCAGTATTTGGCCTACATCTGTCTTATCACATTTTCCAAATCTCATAAAGTCGAAACAATAAACAAATCTTTTTTCCGGCGGTCGAATGGGAAAAGTATATGGAACCTGATTCTGAAGACCGGACCATTTTATCGGAACAAAAGGAATAGTTTTCAAATCCAAGAGGGGAGATTGTGAATGAGCCCTGTGAAGATCATAAAAATGAGTCGTGACTTCGGACAGAATTGTAGACGGTCGATCATGAAGTTCGGTCGAAGATTGGGTTTGATTAGTCGGAGACGAAGGGTTTGCGCTTCTGTATACAGAAGCATGTGGATCTCCTTTCTCATGAGAAAATAAGTAGGATCCTTCGGGGAGACTTTTTTAAAAAATAAATTTAATAATTAATTGATAACGGGAGAATATAATTTAGGTGTTACCATATAAGTACCTTTGTAATTTCTTCAAAACATGATGCAACAGTTTACTATGAGGTCTAGGCCTATTACAAAGTTACGGTAAGTTCAATTAAGTGATGTGCCGAATGTTGTGAATTTTAAACACAAATCTCACCAATTTCCGTCAGGAATTATGTCGGCCATTCGCATTCTTTGTATATCCACCAACTCGTTCGTGAGCACGTTAATGTGACCGAGAATCAGGTGAGCATTGTTGCGGATGTAAGTGTAAATCCACCAACGCGCTCTTTCCGAATTTGTTATTTCTTCCAATCCCAAATCCAATTGGTATTCCAATTTCGTCTTAACCCCTACTATACGATTCTATTTCAAAAAAAAAAAAATTTTTTATTTTTGGTTTTTTTTTTTTAACACATCGTGCAAGTATATATGCATAATATCATGAAAAATCACAGACCTTGTTGTCATTATTCGATTCTTGGATGTAGGCATGAGCTTTACATCGTATCAAAATGACCATATCACCAAAATTCCATAAATTATATATTAAGTTTCCAGAACGAAGATGATCATCAGACAACATTTCTAGACGCATCGGATTAACTGGTCTGTCGGAATCGCCAACATTCGTTTGAGATTCATCATCCATGTGTTTGTCGTTTTTTCGAGACTCATAAAATGCTAGATAAAAATAAATAAATAAATAAATAAAACCGATCAAATTCAATTAGATAAACCACCGGACGTCCTACCTTCTGCAGTTTCTTGTGAAGTTGAAGTTGTGATTCCGCCAACATCATCTTTACACGCCCTACTGTTTAAGGTCATATCTCGATTAAGTTCAACGTGGCCCATTAAATCACTCGAGGTGTTGTTTGACACAGAAACACCTATTCTCGAAGTGTCATCGACCCTCTTAAGTGCTAGGGGCGGCTTGAAAACTTTAACACGGAATTACAAAAATTATCGACGAAGTAACGATCAACAAATTAAAATTGTAAAAATATGATACCTAAGTTATTCCCCACGGAATTGTTGAAAACCTCATTAACGTCAATTCCTGAATCAAACGCCACACTCTCGAAGGCTATATCATAGAAAATCTGGTTTCGTTGTCTGGGAGTAATACTCCTTTTCGGTAACGGTTTGTCAATGTAAACAGTTTTAAGTATTTTGTCAGCTTGAATTAATTAAAAAGGAAGATAAACAAACGTAAATTAATTTTGAGGATGGACATAGACTAAAAAAGAAGAAATATATCCACCATCTTTGCTCTCGACTACACGTATAGGCAATTCAAATTCAATATCGGCAGATGCTTGCAGGGCGACAAGAGCACAGAGACTACTTGAAGACATCACTACATTCACTTTGTACTGAGTAACCATTGAGGAAATTAAGGGGTCTCTACTAACAACCGGCATACTCTTTAAATTTTATTTCCGTTAATCAGCGGAAATAAATTGAACAAGGAATTTGAATCATACACACAAATTACTTACCATTTTCTGCCAATATCTTTTTGGAATTTTAACATCATCGGATGAACTAGAGTTCACTTTATCATCCACATCCATCACATCGTTATTATTACTGTCAGCCGAAACGACATGATTGTTGTCGGAAGAATTAGTACCATACAACATATAATCCCTTTCTAAAGGTATTTTAAGTATTTGTGAAGGTGTCGGCAATTGTAAACCAAATTTATAACATGTTCCCTGTATTCGTAAATTTCGAGGTATGTGTTTAAAACATTAACAAAAGTGGGATACGTGCTGAATCAAATGACACAGAACTTACAATTCTTTTAATTGTCTGATTGAATATTAAAACTGGTTCGTCCGGACCTGGTGGTGGAAGTGCAAGTCCCATAGTGAACAAAACTTCGTAAAAACGCTGAAGAAAACATTCTAAATAGTAAATGATATGCGCATATTGAACATAGAATTATCAACTAGACTCTCACAGGGTAATAGCTAATAGTCCATTTCACGCACGAAGTAAAGTGACGCTGCTCAGAAAAGCAAGATGTAGTTAGAAGATGATAGCGATTCAAGTCCATAAGAATAATTTTATGACAAACCTCAAGTTGATTTGAAATCTTAGAATCTAAATAAACAAGACGATCTTGTGACCTATTATACAACCATTGGATGTACTCTTCTCTCTCTTCCTTAAAACGTTCCTTCATAACATTAATAAAACTCCAATCTGGTTCTGTCAACAAAGTTGGCTATCGTATAAAATAAGAATCAATAAATATTTCATATCGAAAATAATCGAAAGCATCTGCAATGATACTCACATTGGTCTCGGAGAGCAGAGTGAGACGAAGAAAATTGATATGTTGTTCGTGAGACATCTTGGAATGAGGCATTAATGTCATTGATGAATTATATGAAGCATCAGATGGAACAGAGGCCGTATCTGCGAGGGTTGAGGTAATTGGAATACGGGAATTGACTGAATTATTAGAATCGCGCTTTAAATTAGATTTCTCGGATTGTTTTTTGTGTTTTTCAAGTAATTGCAAGTATGGTCCAATAATGTCATATGAATCCTTTGATTCGGTTCCTTGAAGTTTTTCATCTTTCTTCTTGTCCGCGGAAGTTTTTAATTGCACCGAAGATGTATCCTCCATTATTGCTTCCTTCACCGTAGACTGTACGCCATCACCTGGACTTTGAGTCAACAATTTAGGAGATTGTTCCACAATTGATGATACTGAAACTTCTACACCCTGAGTCTTTGGTTCAGAATTTTTTCTTTGGACCGTAGTTTCTACCACGTCGTCCCTATCAGACTGATCGTCCATCATCAGGTCATCTAATATAAAAAATGATGATTTTAGAGCATGCTCGTGGACAAAGGAAGCAGACAGATAATAGATCGAACCGTCATCGCTATAAATTAAGTTTTCGAATATAATTTCTGGTGATTTTTCGTTAATAATTTGAATCTCTTTATCCATGACATTGAGGTTTTCTTTATCAACCTTAGGATTCTCCTTATCGATAATATTTGGATTTTCTCTATCGACTAATATAGGACTTTCTTCACTAGCGGCAATGGAATTTTCTTTATCGGTGACGCCGGAAGTTCCTTTGCATATTACGTCATCTGATTTTTTACTGGGCGTATTATTATTAATCTTTTGGTGAGCGACGGACATTTCATGAACCCGGCGTAATGAATACTGTGAGTATTTCTCATAAGCTTCTTTGGTGAAGAATGAATTCCGATAGATCGGGAGTGACACACGGTTAATATGCTGTCTAGATTTATTTCGATCATCATTAGTCGAATAGAACAATGAAAGGGTTAAAAAGCTTTTCAATGATAATAGTCAACTTACCGCAAGTAGTTTTCTGTAGAATTTGTGAGATCTTCCGAGGGATTTTCTAATTCAACAATAGGAATCAATTCCGTCTTTTCATTGCTTCCATCATTGATCCCACGTAGTATAGGGAATGAGAAATTACATTTTTGTGATCGTGTTCGGGTAAACTTGTCGAGCACTTCCACTGCCTTAAGAAAAGTTGGGTTATCACCACCATCGGAATTGTTGAATTTGCTTAGACTCCCTGAAGAAACATCTGAGATAGGTTCCTTTCCACTATTTTTATTGGTACCTTTACCATGCTGTCCGTCTGAATCCAAACGTCGCGGATTCGATAAAACATTCTGCAACTCTGTGATCTGTTCGTTATCACTAATTATTGGAGCATTAGAATTTTCTACTAGAGATTCTTTAAGACCTTGCTCGGGATTATCTTGCATCGTTGTCACACTGAGAAAATCAACGATATGATAGAAATCCAATATAGAGTAATTTTTTGCGATCGGCTATCATTGCGATAATATACAAAGATCGCATCATAATATTTGCTACGTTTTATTTATAGACCGAAGTCTAACTCCAAGGTAACAATAATTAATTTTGTAGTCTACATGTCTAGTTCATGCTTTATTAATAAAAATCATATTTAAAAACAATCAAAATAAATATCTTTTTTATACTGTTTAAGGGTTTATAGATCTTTAAAGAGAGATTAAATATTACAATAGTATTGTTAGTTATCTAAATCTTTAATTTTTTTTTTTTTTTTTGTATACCTACAGCCAGGTTAAATCATAGTTTATTAATCAATTGAAAACATAAGTACATTTTTACTTGAGCAGTATAATATATATTACAACCAAAAATTTTTTCAAAAATTTCCTTTTTTGATAATTTTCTTGAAAAAAGTGAATCAGTTTAAACACATAAGAAAGAAATTCAAAATCTCAGATCAAGCTATCAAATCTCAATTACATATTCAAACTTTCTGGAAACATCAAGGATAGAGGTATACACTGTTTTATTAACTCTTTACTTTTTTTTCTTAAATTTTTAGAAAAAAGAAAGGAAATCTGAAAACTAATTCACAGTTAAAAAAAGAAAGCCAATATCAACTTCACATAGCTTATAGCCAGGCCAGTATAGGTTAACACCTTTTTTGACACTATGAGAAACCTAAAAAGTAACCAAGTCCATTTGATAAATCAAGTTGCTCTAGTCATATTAAAGTTCAAAAAGATATTAAAGCTTTTTAAAGATAAGACAGTCTAAATATACATACTTATCAAAACAATATACCTATCCCAAACCTTATCACATGAACACGAATACATAAAAGCAAGACAAAAAATAAGCACATACACGTATATCTTGTTATCTAAATAAGTTGATCGACTTTCTATACAAATATAACAAAAACTTTCAAATTAGAATAGGATTATCAATATAAACAAATAAATAATCAAAACAATATAATAAGATTTTCTTTATTATCTAAACAAATACATATAAACAACAACAACATCAAAAGAGTTTATTTGTAGTCTAAATTTAGAATACTAATAAATATAAATAAGAAAAATATATAAAAATATTTAGACAGCTGTCATGTGATAAAATAGAATACATATTCAATACCTCTAATATCAATACTATAGATATAGATAAAGCTGAAGCAATTTTACAAATAATATAAAATAAAGAAAACAAGATATTAGATATCTTAATTAATATAGTCAGATAGTATAATAAAAAAGTGAAATGTGTGCAAAAAATTTGAAGTAATATAAGATAAACTCTTTCCGCTGATCCTCTGACCACACACAAAAAAGATATTCACAAGAAGTTTTATACTTCTTTGCTAATAAAG